CCATCTGGTGCTGTATCTGAGCACTTCCATGCAGCTTTGGAAGTGGCTAGTCAGTTTTCAGTTATAATATGCGACCCTTGACACTCTCTGCATAATCTCCCTATTTGGCAATTGTGCTCCGAAAACTCTGTTCACCTTTTGACATATATGACCAAATACAGCAATTAAGCTAATCACAACATTTTAAAATGGGTAACCAATTTCTAATTAAAATAACTCAATGTTCTTTTGTTAAAAACATTCACTTGGGGTTCTGAATTGTTACTGGTTTATTGCATTCATTTAAACCCCTTTCAGAGGTTATTTGGAAGGCTGTGAGGTATTAAGCTAGGTAGAGAAGCAGCATCTTCATCAAATTTAACTGAGGCTTTTGTTCAGATCTGTATGTGAAATTTTTTAATCTGGCCATATCCCATCTGTGTTCCAAGTTTAATTGAAATCCATCAATTTAGTTTTTGACAGATATTGTTTACAGACAAACAGACTAACTGGTAAAAACACTGCCTCCAGCCACCTTCAGTGGCAGAGAGAACCAGCATAATTTATGTGAAGATAAATTTGAAGAAGGCTGAGAACCAACAGCGATACTAAGATATTTCATGCTGAAAGAATCATGCAGCAATATTAGAACTCATTTTCAAAGTAGAACAGCAACTTTACACAGACTGGACGGGCAGGTATATCATGACCTACGCTAGGAGTTGAGCTGTAATTTGAATATGAAGAGCTTCACATTTTATGTGTGTCTTTAGACTAATGATAACATCTCCAAAACCACCTCAATCCGTGCCAGGAAGTAAGAGTATTGAGATTAGACAGTAATATGTCCCGGAAGTGACCTTGAGAGTGTCTCCTCTTTGTTAGGCTGTTCTAAGGTTTTCATGTACTAACTTTCGTTTTAATTCTGAATCGAATCAGGAAGAAGACAGATCACTGAGTGATCTCATACTCTCTGAGGGAAAAAAAAATGATGACTATAATCTAGTCTACAAAACCGTGGAGTTTGAAAGCCATTCATACCAATTTGTTTTTTTTTCATTCTCTTAATTTCAACTTCAATTTAAGACACGAACCTAGAGTATCGAACTGAGATGTTCTTATTTTGTAATTGGATTTGGTGCCATAAGTGAAACTTTCTGCCATGGCTTCTCCTGTTGTTTACTGCCAAGTTACTCAAGTGGAAAGTGCATGCATATAGAGCAGGACTCACATTGGCTGTCCCTGCATTATTAAAGAGCCAAAAGGCACTTCCTGCTAAGGTTAATACTTGCACTACCTGGGAAAGGTAGTGGCTGCATGGTGGTAATCATTGAACAGTAAGCATGGCAGCACCCTTGGGAGAGGAGTGTTTAGTATTAATGGAGGTGATCAGAGTTGATCAGTGGTATGTGGATCAATGTTCTAAATATCTGCTTATTTGGAAACAAAGTCATTAATTACTGTCCCTCAGTAGATTAATTAAAGAGGCAAGAATGTACAAGGTCTTCTAAATGGGTAGACTTGATGATTGAGTGTTTTCTCCTTGTTTTTGGAACTGTGCTTTTTATCAGATAAGTCCGAAGTCCCTGCAGTAACTAAAACAGGTGATTATGGTTCATTATCATTCCAGATTCAGAACCACTTGTTTCCAGAACCCAGATAGCTGAGATTTCTATCTGCCTTTTATAGATTTAGGGTTCCAGACAGAGACACCTTTTTTAGGTGAGATTCATTCCGGCTCCATACACCATTATTAAAGTTGATCAATAACTTGGATTGTTAAGTGGAAAGTGTGCTCACAGCTTGCAGGCAATCAGTACTGCCCCATAAAAATTTTGGAAGAAGAAAACTTGCTTCGATGAATGGTTTGTTTTTAAAATTGCACACTCCTTTTTTTTTTGTTTTTCCTGCACCAAAACTAGTGTTTAATAAAAAGTTGATTTGTGTTTTATGTAGCATGACCACTAACAGTAGATGCAATGTTTCAAATGAACAGTTTGTCGAGAAGTATCCAAGTGTTTTTATTTCCTCTTACTCCACTTTCTCCCTCCAACCTTTCTCAAGACTACATTCTGTCCTAAGTTGCACATGGACGGAGGGAATTGTAAGCTGACTATTCACTGGAAGATTGTTACACAGGCCAAATGGTATTGTTAGTAACCCACAAGGTGCTTCCAACTATAAAGCACATTCCACCTGCCCGTTTGAGTAATTCAAGGAGAGGAACCTTAAAAGCATGTCCTTCGCAGAAGGTAAACAGAGTTGTGTAGCATTCTGTCCCAATTTTACCTCTAGAATTTAGAATCTACACTGCTTTGGCTGTGTAATACATTCACCTGATGAACTCTACGAACACACTAAATCCATTGATACTGTTTCCAAGTCTTTTGCAGGTACTGACCATGCAAGGAAAACATTAATCAATCAGTGACTCTGCTACTGTGATTAATGTAAAACCATAATTCTTGATGACATAAGTTGCTATATGATGACTAACAATAAATAGACTTGTAGTTCTTATAAACATAATCCAAATTGTTCTACAGGCATTTGGTGCCGTTTATAATCTCTTCAGAAATAAAAACAACGATAGAATTCCAAATCGGGGTGAATTATGAACAACCTATTAGTTCTGTTTGAAATCACTTAGCTGGGAGGGCACAGTAGCATTGACAAATAGCTATAGTTAGTAATTGTCTAATGATTATAGATCATACCCTTCCTGATAAAGTGCTTAAATTTGTTTATGTTGGATTCTATTACAAGGGCCTCTGTAACATTCCAATCTGTGTAATAGTTCTTTTCTTGGTTTTGATTGTCTTCAATGTTGAAATCATGTTAGTCAGGACACTAAGGTCTCTAGGAATTTAAAAAGCATCCTTTTTTACAAACAAAACTGGCTCCAGCATGTGAGCAGAGTACTGCATAGGTTTAAATTCTGGGAATATTGAATCTAGAGTTTTCTGTAGAAACATATCACGGAGGAAAAGCCAGTGAAAACTCGTGAATAATGCATACTGGGTCCAACTTGCGTTGTACACCTCAAAATGGTGCTGTAATGTGACTGTAATTCTTGTTTACAAGTGTTACATTTTTAAAATTTTTTTTCCTTCTGAGGTAGAAAGGAAGGGTATTTGCTGTTTGAGGTGAATGTAACATCAACTTTAATTTTTAAAGAACATTTAGTAATGTTGTAAATAGGCTTCATGTGAGCATAATAAGAATAAATTGACACTGAGCCAAATAAAGAAACTTTACGATAGCTTGCCAAAGCCTTGTCAAAGTGACATGGTTTGGAGACCTTTTTAAAGTAAGAGAGAGAGAGAGATAGAAAGGACACAGCAGCAGGTTTGGTGCACAGCAAGATGTCAGGAAGACTGTGGAAATGAGTAACCAGTTAACCGGTGTGTGGAGGTGAGGGATGCCTATAGGCCCACATTCTACTTCAAACAACAGTACTTGAGCCCACAGAATAGATCAGCTCCTTGATTTAATAACATACAATGATACAGCTGAAGGAAGCTGTTCAGCCCTCCATTTCTGTGCTGGATTCTTGGTAGATCAGTCCAATTTTTCCCACTCCACTGTTTTTCCCCATAGACCCACAATGTTCTTCCCTTCAAACAAATTTCCTCTTGGGACATTACTGTTGGAATCTGCTTGTACCACCTGTTCAGGCAGCACATTCCAGCTGTGTAAAAAGTTTCCTTCAGTCTTTATTTTTGCCAGTTGTCTGAGATCCTGTCTGCAGTCATCAAACTTTCTGCCACCATAGAGTCATCACAATCTGACCTAATCCCATTTGCCAGCATTTGGCCCCTTTCCCTCAACTTTTCCTATTCACATACCCATCCAGATGAGTCCTGATGAAGGGTTTCGCTGGAAATGTTGACTTCCCTGTTCCTCAGATGCTGTCTGACCTGCTGTGCTTTTCCAGTTCCACGTTTATTGACCCCATCCAGGTGTACAGTTTCTCCTTATTCACTGAATTTTAATACCTGTATGCCTCACTATATAGAGGTATAATGTAATACTGCTGCCTCTAAAGTAGAAGGTTCTACATTCAAGTTCTGTTCAAGGACTTGAGCACAGAATTCTAGGCTAATAGTCCACTTTAGCACTGAGAGACTGTTGCACTGTTGGAGATGCTGTTGTTGGAATAAGGTGTTAAATTGAAGGTCTTGGTTAATGCAAAAGATCCCAAAGCATTAGAAAGTAGTGCAGGGAAATTAGCCCTGGTGTCTTGGCCTATATTTATTTCTCAATTAACATCACAAACCATAATCACATTTGTCTCTATGGGAACTTACGGTGTGCAAATAGGCTGTCACATTTCCTACATTAGAACTGTTAAAGTATTTACATTTCAAAGTTCCTAATTGGCTCTAAAGTACTTTGGGTTGTCGCGAGGTGCTGTATAAATTCAAGTTGGCCTTTCTTGTCAAATTTCCCCTTAACATTCTGTGCTACAATCCCAATTTCTTCAAGTCCTCCACTTATTCTTTGTAAGTGGCTTCTCCACCATCTCTTACACATGCCATCCCTTCTAATATATGGTGTCCAAAATTGAACATGATAGTCCAGCTGAGCCCTTACCTTTCCATACCATAACCATCTCCCAACCAAGACAAGAGATAACAAGGTGCAGGGCTGGATGAACACAGCAGGCCAAGCAGCATCATAGGAGCAGAAAAGCTGACGTTTTGGGTCGAGATTTTCTGAGGAAGGGTTTCCTGCTTCTCTGATGCTGCTTGGCCTGCTGTGTTCATCCAGCTCTATACCTTGTTATCTCAGATTCTCCAGCATCAGCAGTTCCTACTATCTCTCCCACCCAAGACAAGCTGATCTCCAGACTTGTGATTCTAACTGGCTCAGTGCTGTACTGGGTATGTTTGCACATTGTTTAATTTCTTTTTATAAAATGTGGGGTCTGTAAGTTTTGATGCTGGCCAGATAACCGATCTTTCATTCAGCACCCCCATGGGCTTGGAATAGCAAGTTATGACACACAAGTTTTTTACCTAAGTGCAAAGAACTGCAGATAGAGAAATTAGAGCCTGGAAGCATCTGTGGAGAAAGAAACAAAAGAAACTTAATGTTTTGAGTCCGATATGAATTCTTTGGGACTGAAAGGACTGGGAAAGTGGTGAGTCTTTTGTGTTAGAAAAGCAGGGGGTGGGCAAGTGGAACAGATGATAAGGGTGCCCTCCAATAAAAGGTAAAGGGAATATTAACAGTAGTAGTGAAGTGATATAGATAAACATTTTAGGTGTTAATGGTTGGTGGTGGTAAACCTCACCGCTAACCACTGTTGTAGTTCACCATGGGGTAGGTCTTCTGCCAGTGCTACATTTTGATCTACAGACCTGCTTGATCTAGTCTAGCCTCTAGCTAGACTAATGAAATGAGGCTGTTATCTTTAAAGGGTTCTAGTTTATTAGTAACTAGGCACAAGTGACACTGATACAAGCAATGTTATTACAGAGACTGAATAGAATGAAAATCCTTATTCTTTTGAGACCCTAACCTGTTCTTCCACTGGGTCCATGTGATATCATCATCCGTTAAGGCACTGCTCAGTATTAGCCTTTGCAGACCGTATACAACAGGGTGAACCTGAATTACGCAGCTCAAAAAGGTAATACTGCTGCTTCATGTAGAGCTACTTCAAACTCAAGAAGCACTTTTTTTAAAATTAGCTTTTGCCAAATATAAAATGATCCACAGCTCCAAGTTCTGCTAAAATTAAGCAAATGAATGTGGAGAAATGGTGCATTATCTTTCTGGAATCTGATGTTTCCTTCCTTACCATGACAGTCATGAGTTGTGGAGAGGAACTGAAACAAGGTGCTGCCATTCCTTCTGCTCCGATAATAAACGGCTCTTCACGTGCTCAACCCGCAGCCCCGTTTAGAAGTGCTATAGCATGACGAGGCATTTGCATGGACTGAAAAAGAGGCTGCACTCACAGAATCCCTGGTAGACAAACAGGTGGCTGGAAGAACACAGCAAGCCAGACTGCATTTGGGGGAAAAGGAGAATTTAATGTTTCGGGTATTACCCTTCTTCAGGGCAGAAATAGACCATTTGGCAGCCCCCCCCGGCAAAACTTTTGCCTGCATTTCCCATGGCTAATCTACCTAGCCTGAGCACTATGGGCAATTTAGCATGGCCAAAACACCCAACCTGCACATATTCGGATTTCGGGAGGAAACTGGAACACCCAGTGGAAACCTATGCAGACTTGGGGAGAATGTGCAAACTTCACACAGTCAGCCACCCAAGGGTGGAATCATACCTAGGTTTCTGGCGCTGTGAGGCAGCAGTTCTAACCACCATGCCACTCAGTAACTTTTCAGTAATGAGAGTGCGAGCAGTGGAGCTCCAAGGTTTTGGTGACTGTCCAATAACTCTTGGCTTCTTGTTAGAGGAATGTTGGTCATAGTAGCTGTAAAAGTTGAAGTCCAGCAACAGATGGAATTTTGTATTATTAAACATCACTTAGTACTTATACCCCCAAAGGGATGGTGGCTTTCTCCTTAGTGCTGCATCCTCACTGTACATTGTGAGGGCACACCCACCCTGGAGATTCTGC